TTAGACTTATTTTCATGAGGATGATTATTATGACGATGCTCATTTGTGATTATTATTTCATTATTACTTTTTATATCAGATTTTTTTTATATCAGATTTATATCTATTTTTATATATATATATATATATGTTTTTTTTTATGTGTATGTATGTATGATTATAAATAACCCTTGCCTCTTCCCCACCCCAGACCTGAGAAAAACAGTTCAATCAATCAATCAATCAGTTACAAATCCCCTCATATTTTTGCCAACAAGCTCCCCCATCATTAATCCCCCATCATCTCCCTTATGTCAATACCTCTAGGTAAGCCACTTTTAAGATTATTGTGTACATAATTTATTCCTGAAGATGAACTAATAACTTTCGAAATATTTAATCACAATGACTTGTATCACTTTTTATTGAGTTTGTTTCATACTATGTCAAACTTATCGGTGTGAACACCCGGCTGCAATAAACATAGTAATTTTATGAGGCTTAAGAAGTGGCAGTGAACCATTGTTGGCAGTGAACCAATCTAAGCAGGAAGAAAATCAATGACCCTTAAATGGAAGGAGCATAACCACCATAAAACTAACTACACAAGTTTGTACTGAAATACTTATTTTGTATAATGTTAAAAAATTACCTTCAAGTCTACACAAGGCAATATGCTGCTCGTAGACCTAAAATTAAGATAAACACAATTTGGGTAATTATATCATGAAAATATTGAGAAAGTTAAAGATGAAGAATTTTTTTAAATTTCATTCTCATCCAATACAAAGTGATTCATCCCAAAAGAGGGGTGGCCATAAAATGGGTCGCAGGCCTAAACTGAATCTTTGAATAAACACTGCAGGATGCAAGCGAACTTATAGTGATAATTTGTCTTTCGAATGTTCTTGCAAACACCTTTATACATTGCTGTACAGTTTTAATAAAGCTAAATTGTAAAGGCCTATCCAGACTATAAATGCCCAAATATGGTCATGATACATCACATCATGACAATATATAGGCACATTATGACTATATATGGGCACATCATGACCATATATGGGCATACAGCAGTTTTTAGTCGGAGATGATTTGATAGTGCGGCCAGAGCTTAAGAGAAGCCTTCAAGCTTTGACTTACTCTATAAAAAACTGCTTCTTCAAGCCCACTGGCCCTGAATTCATTGACTACTGCCCTCAATAGAATCTTCTCCTGTTCAGAAGCTTGTCTAAAAAAGAATTATAAAATTAATACATAACAATTTGGCTTCAAAAATACATTAAAAAATAAAAAGAATATTTAAATTTGTTATTAAAATAAGTCAAATTGTATATTTAAAAAAATTCCTTTATGAATCTTTACAATGTTGTAATCAGTTATTTATTATGCAATTTCTAATTTTTTTTGAGATTTGCTTTACAGGGAATCAAAGATTCTTACCCACTATATAATTTTATTCCAATTCTTATAACAATTTATTTAAAAAAATATGTATTAATGATTATTCTAGACCAACCTGATTGCAACTATCTTTGGCGAAGAAAACATCTCACTGAGAGCTGTCTCAATATGAGGCATGCCAACCAAAGGGGCTCTCCTGCCAGACTCTTGCGAAAACTCGGCTATTTCAGTCGCTCTCCTGCAAATGTCTAGCGCCCTCCTTGCATCACCAGACAGAGCAGCAACCTGTGAGATACACAAAGGAAGGGTAAAAGCCTCTGATTAATAGAGGCTTGAGTATATCCAAACATGAAGGCTTACACAAGGGAAGTTCATAAAAAAAGGGAACTAAGAGGTGGGAGATGTTAAGGTCCCAACAGCTATGTTGTGAACAGTGGCGGGGCTAGGGGGCCTACACCCACCGTTGGGGAGGCCTTGTCCCCCTCCCCCAAGGAGAAAAACCCCAATTTGTCGGGGAGAAAAAAAAATCAAAAAAATTATATGTATTTTGTACATATTAAATAGACTCTAAAATTGATTAAATAAGCCTTTGAAATCCCTAAATTGTCATATTTTATATTTTCGGGGGGGGGGGGGTACATCCCCTGGACCACATTCTAAGGGTTTTTAGCAACGCAACGCCTTTTTTCTCATCGGGGACTATTAAAACATATTTTAATAATGGCAATATAATAAAATGTTTTAATATTTTATTTTCCCCATATAACTTTTATAAATTACCTTTCTAGCAGCTAATTGGATGGCATCCTCATCAAATGCTTTCAAATTCTTCATCCTGGACATCACAATGCTGTGCAACTGCCTGAACGTGTAAGGTTGAAAGGTCATACGTGTTAAGCCCTACAGTGGGGGAAAAACAGGCGATTTATCAGTGTGGCACTTGCTTTACATATTTGTACAAAGGAATATGAATCATATATGATAAAAATAATATAATGATATCGTGTAGAAACATTAAAGAAGGCGCCATTAGGCATTAACACGGGATCCTATCGCATGATCATATAAAGAATGCAATGTCGTTATGTAAATAGCTCAGTAATCAGATTTTGTAAATGCTTTATATAATATAATTGTGAGGAAGGAATATAGATTCTCATTGCAGATTTAAGCAAAAAATAATAAGTGACAGGCTCTGGCAAAACCCGCTGTTTGTCACAATTTCTAATTTCCCGCAAGCACTAAAACTTTTGAGAAATCAGAATTTTGAAATTTTCATGTTTTTGCATTTTAGTTAGATTTAATGATTAGTGTTCTGAAGAAATGTATACTGAAAAGTATATTAAAATTATTTTTGAAATATAAATCTTAATACTGTAGTAAACTATTGATTTTGGAATTTTTGAAAAATGTTTTCTCAAAACCTACAATCATAACTTTGCTAATACTCAACAAAAATTTCCATTAAAAAACTCTGTTTTCCCCACAGAATGTTAAATACACCATGTGATGCATATTTCCTGAAAATTTAGAGTTCAGTAACTGAACAAAGGTAAATAAGGAACTATGTGTAAAAAATACAAATGATTAGAAACAGGAAATTAATTACCAGACGACTGGCTACCCTGTTCATCATGATACGCTCCGGGAGATCCATGGTGTTTGCGATTGCAATGACAACAAGCTTTGCATGACGACGAGTCGGCCAATCAAATATGTTGTACAGCACATTTTGTCTTCTTGTCCATAACAAGTCAAGCTGAAATCAAAGACACTATCTAATTAGTGTTTATTATGTTGGTACTCAGTCTCATGATATGTAATTAGTTAATGAATGTTTGCATTGTTACGAAAGATCAAATTCCTTGATTGTCAACTGTTTGAAAATTATACTCGGAATCAGAGCATCTCTGGGCCAAGCACATCTGGCAACACAACAGAGACATTTTACATTCCAACAACTAATAATATATACAAGATGAATTGATGCGCTATGAATTATGTATCTTCACGAGAATGGACTCTTCCAGAGTATCAAGACCAATCAAAACTCATTTATATTTGTTTTACAAGAGGCCAGATGCCTGGAGTTTGAATAACTTCCCTTTATGGGGAGCAAGAAATAAAAATATTTAAAAAAAATATCACTTGAAACATAAGTAAAAATAATTATCAGATGGTAGGTTAATAACAATGATGGTCATTTAGGGTGATAATAATGATGAAAATTAAAATAATTTCATTGATTGTGATAGTGATGATGATGTAGATAAGTACATTACCTTTGTTCAATTTTAAGGATAGAAGGCATCAATACCATAATTTTATAAAATATTAACAGAACAATAACTTGTAATGATGATGATAATATTGATGATGATAATATTGATAATGACGGTGATAATGATGGCAACACTGATATCAGTACACTAACCTCATCCACAATGAGTACTACTGGCTCTCGTTTTTTTGAGGCACTACTGAATCTTTTCTCCAGCAGAGATGCAGCATGTTCTGGTGTTGCCTTCTGACCTGTCAAAGCCTTCAAATAAACAAAGGAATACTTTAAGTGAATATTCAATATCTCATTAAAATATTTAATGAAGAGCATAAATTTTGATATATAACAAGAAGGATATTTACAGTTGAACTTAAACTCGAATCCAAAATGGCATTGAAAAATTATTTGACTTAGATAAAATTTGACTTACAGATTGTTAATTAATGGAAAACACCACAATTTGGCATTTAAAATAAGGTTGACTTAAAAATTATTTGAGTTAAGCCAAGTCAACTTAGGCAAGTTTAACTGTATTGTTATCTGTTACGAGGGAGTGGCTAGGACATACCTTCAGTATCTGCACAGGGGCCTGGTGAGGATCAGTCATGCGCATGCCATTTATCTCAATACAGTGAAATGCTGGTATCTCTCCATCATCTACACCGATATTTAGACAGCGAACAACCTCATGTACAGTGGCTGTCTTTCCTGTGCCTGGAACACCAGATATATACATACATCTAAAGGAGAAAAAAAGAATACTTAAGGAAACATGGTATACAACAGAAGCATAATTTTAGGCCCTATGCAGACTATCAAATTTGTTTGACAAAAATATTGTGACATGCCAAAATATGATCAACATCATATTTAGGCACATCATGACTATATATGGGCATACATCATTGTCTGAGCAAAACAAAACTTTAAATGATGGTGCTTAGCATCACATTCTATTTAATGATTCGCTGTCTTACCCTCCTGTACCATCCAAAATCTTTCCCTCCACAAACGAATAGATATCCATAAACTCAGCCTCCCTGCATGGCAGTGTATCAGGTACAGCAGACACATGAAGCCTGAAAGGGCCAAGAAAAAGGCATTTTAAAGGCAAGACACAACTGAAGCCTACACCTTGATATAACCACCCCAACCCATATATTCACTTCAAAGCCTAGACTACATGATACAAGTCTTAATAACATAATGTGTTTTGACATAAACATCACTTTGTAATCTTTGCAAAATTCTAGGATTTTACTGATAACCAAAAACTTTTCCAGCAGCTCATTTTCTGCAAAAAGGGGACAATGAAAATTAGAAATTGTCATTGACGAACAGGATAATTTTACTGATTTATTATTATTATATAAGGTCATTAGGACCTTAGTAACGTCCCTACCCCGGTAATGCATAGTTCGGTTAGAGTGGGGTATGCGGGTCATTAGGACCTTAGTGGAGTAATTCCCCTACCCCAGTAATGCATAGTTTAGTTAAGGTGGGGTATGCGGGTCATTTGTACCTTAGGGAAGTGGCGTCCCTACCCCTGAATGCTTAGTTTTTTTAACTCATATTTTTATCTTTTTCTTTTCATGTAATTTTTAGTTATTCATTGTTTCATGCTATGGATATGTAATTTCCGAAATGAAGTTAAATTGAATGTACATAAAGACACTCAATCATCTTAAGTTCATTTCACATGCTACGTTCAAATTAATCGTAAAAATAACATAACTGATCTTTCCAAAGGCCCAGAAAAAACTCTCACTAAACTATGATTCTTAAAATTATTAATTAAAGATAAATTTAATATCACTGAGGAACCTACCTGGCCCTTGCTTTTTCTAAAACTGTTTTTGCAATTTGAACTGGTTTTTCTCTTGACTGCATCCCTGGTGTCGCTAATTTCTTTTTGTTTGCTTTACTTATAGTTTTGGGTGTTTTCATCTGAGTTTTTTTATTTTCCTTCTTTACGAATACGTCATCATCACTACTTTCTTCGCTGCTATCTTCGGAGTCATACGTTTGTCTACTTTTTGTTCTTTTACTTACAGAGGTTTTACTTTGCTTCTGGTTTTTCTTTGCTGGGCTTTTAGGAAAGAGTTCCACCTTTGATGACTTTCTTTGTGACCTGCGTTTATTTTTTGTGAGTTCAGCTTTCTTGCTTGTTGTTACAGCTCGTTTTGGCCGCTTTGTATTTGGGGGTGTGACAAGTTTTGCTTTCGGCTTCTTAACGGTCAGTGATATATTATCGTATTCTGTATCAACCTTTCTTCGCTTGGATGATTTTAATTGGTGGTAAGACTTTTTACGTTTACCAGTGTGTTCATCTTTGTTGATAGTTACAAATTCAGCGACTCCATCCATATGCACATGTTGCAATTTTGATTTTACGCCAAGAACAGCGTGATTGCCACGTTCTGAATATTCCTTGAGTTCTTCGGAAGAATTACTATCACTATCTTCACTTTCGATGTCATTGTTATTACTGCCAAGTTCTAATTCCTCAAATAAACATTCTAGAACATCAGCTTCTGCTATATTATTACCTCTACCTATTTTAAAAAAACAATAAGAATAGTCATCAGTAGATTAATATCTTTCTACGAAAATGGTGCAAATTATGTATTTGTGGGAAACTTAAGATACATTGTCTGTGATGATCTGAAAAATGTAATCATTTGAAAAGGTTACTATGTATTAACCATTGTCCATTGTCAAATTCTGACAAAAACATGTGGCATACTTAAATATGATGACATCACATCATGACCATATATAGGCACATCATGACTATATATGGGCATACAACAGTTTTTGGTTGAAGGAAATTGAGATGGTTACAATTTGGTTATTTGATGTCTCCTTACTGCACCTCATATATTTACCTCTCAGACGCCTCAAAAAGTGGCTCAACTTGGAGAAATCCATTTAGGGAGATTAAATGAGCTTCATTAACATATTTTACTTTATTTTGATGGGCATGGTGATACCCATCAGTACTGACTTCCGTGAGACATTTGAAATAAAGAAGTGAAAACATGCAAATATTGTGGTGGGTTATTTTCCGGGAGATTCTTGATTGCTTGCAGGAATGCAGGAGGCCTTCTCGATTTCCTAGAGACTCTCACGATTTCCGGGAGACTTGGGACCCCAGTGATGCCCTCCCACTCTGTACAGCGCTGATAAGTTGTGAACATGATCCTTATCTCACCTGGTGACTTGAAAACTTCTAGCATGGGTAGCTTATGTTTTGGTTCCTTTTTCACATTCTCCGTCACTTTACTTGCAGGTTTCTCGGTGTTGGTTTTCCGTCTCTTAATATTCACAGACTTTGGAGTTTTTGAAGTGCTGGCCTTTGGAGTTTTCGAAGTGCTGGCTTTTGGAGTTTTTGAATTACTGGTACTTGAACTTTCTTTAGGCGGGGTCGTGGGTTCCAATTTCTTTGTTGGTTCCAACATTGGCATGAACTTTAACCCGTTGAATTGGTACTTTACATAATATTCCTTCAAGCAGTTCTTTGGGGCTGATGGGAAAGGGGCATCGACCTGCAGCTCAATTACCTGTGACCATAATTGAGAAAGTTCATTGAATGATTAGTTTCTTTAATTTTTTCTTGAGGTGGCAGTACAAACGATGATAGTAATTAAGCTGATGATATTATTACCAAGATTATGGTTCAATCACTCTTTTTCAGATTTTTTGTATATAAATGTAAAGGCAGGCAATTACAGTAAACCATAACTCACAAAGTCATTGTGCTAAATTGTATACAGGCGTGGCTGATTATCATAGCTGCCGAAAAGAAGTGCTCAGTAGTAAACACATACTTCACAACAATGAGGCTTGGCCATTCAGTCCCATAATGATTTTGTTTATGTTGTATGGAAAATAAATTTAACTTAGAAATTTTAACTTTAAACTAAGATTTTGAAAGGGATTTCCTTTAACGGTAAAAAGTGCCTAGGTACCCTGATGATGTACAGGAGAAGAGCTATTGGAGGGTCAGACTGCAAAGTCCCATAAAGCGGAAGTATTTTCATCATGTAAGTGGTGACTTCTAATAATAAATAACAAATTGGAAAATTTGTTTAGGGCGTAATCACCTTTTGCCACATTTTCCCCCATTTTTAAATTTTCAAAAATCTGTATCTCATTAACAGTTCCCATGTTTTTTTGTCAAACATGCTTTTTGTATCTTAGAAAAATCAGTTGTACAACATATCAAAATGTTTTTTTTTTTCCCCTTTGGAGCCTGGCTTTAATTCTGACTTACTCTGCATTTATCAATTATTGTTTCTGCATCAACCTTATCATGAGAGCAGGAAGATGTTGCAGGCTGGTAGTGGAAGATCTCGTTCTTATGAGGTACATTTTTTAATCTCTTTTTTGCCCCAGAAGACAACTCTGACCATCTCATATACCACTGTACAACTGCTTGGTACGGGTCTTGACAGTCTGTTCCTAATCATTTGTGAAAAGAAAAAAGAAATATAGGCTTACCAAATATAAAACAGGTAATAATTATCACACACATAACACATACACACAATGGTGGCCCTAGTTACTCTAGGATAATATATACATTGTTGAGAAAAGTAACCATACTGTAACTATGCAACAGTGGGCCTGACAATTTTCGACACACTGATTAAGTCAAGGGACGGGTTTGTGACATTTTTAGGTAATTTAGAATGTACATATTATGCTAACAATTATTTTTAATTTTTGGTTCAAGACCTGGTCAATAAAAAAGCATAAGGAGTTGAGTTGAATAGCTTGGTGTTAAGATGCTTGCCTTCCAATTTTCTCGCAGCCAAAACAACTCCAATCCCTAAACCTCATATTGAGATTTAGTTTGTGTAAAGCACTGTGTTTCTATGTTTGTTTTGTGAAAGCGACTGTCACCTACAAGTAAGGCAGTGATATATTCGCTATTGACAATCTTTTTGCATATCTTAACCTGTTCCTAAATAAATAAAAATTAATTAATAAAAGCCCATCAGGCTGGCAAGACCACTGCGTATATAATTAATAATTATATTATGTTATACAAGATATTAGTCTTCAAAACATCGGAACTATTTATAATTGTAATGCAATGTTCTTTTTCAATATACAAAAAAAATCAGCATCCTACTATAACAAGCCTTTTAAGATCCTCTTTATTCTTCATAATATACCTTTGTCAAATAAATCCAGAATTTTGGCAACATAGCTCTCATCAGATTCCTCAGTATCTACGAGGACAGTATCGCCCACCTTGATAGTCATTTTCTTCTTGCGATTGGTAAGTTCAAACTCACTGAAAATGTAAACAATCTATAATTTGTAACCATCATCTCAGTCTGCCGGGTAAAAATAAGCCACCTTATTTTTTTCTCTAAATGAAATATATTGATTAAATTTAAGATTGTTGCCTTGGCAAACTAGGGCCCAGCTAGGCTTAGACACGCGCGAGGCTAGGCTAACCTAGGCTATGAACTAGGCTAACCTAGGGCAACTTGGCAAGGGCCTACGTCTTGTCCTAAATCGCGGTCATTATTGGCACACCCTCTCAACTCTCTAGCTATATTATAGCCTCCAAATTGGGCTACACTGGCATAGGATAACAAAGCCTTTCGGCAGGCTAACTCTTCTCTAGCCTAAGTAGCGTAGCCTATTACGGCGAATGTACACCTAGCCTAGGCCAGCCAATGCCTAGCTAGTTAGTTAGGTAAACCTAGGCCTAGCCAAATCTAGCTAGGCATAAGCCGGTAGGTCTGACACCACTAGTGTGAGCCTTTTGACGCTGGTCGCAACCGCAAGACATCCTGAAGTTTTACAAAAATTCCTTTGGTCATGATTGATACTCACTTGTAGTGCAAACATCGTTTCTGTTTAATGCCATCTCCAAGCCATTTAAATTGACGATTGGCCTTAAAGTATTCCATTTTCAATCTGCCACTCGTACTTCTTGTGTGTGTGTGTGGAAACAACAGATTTAAAGGGACGGTACAGACTTTCGCGGGCTTTAATTAAAACTGTAGATGGCGCTTTTATTTGTTTTGGTTGGTTAAGGCTCAGGCACCTATATACAGTTACTATTGTTGGTGGAATTATTTTTCCCATCAAATTACTGTAATAATTACATTTCTGCTTTGTTTCTCTTCAAATGTAGGGATCTTTTTGATTATTTTGAAGTAGAGCATGTAACAGAATTTTATTATCTTGGGTTGTTTGACATGTTTCTGAAATTAAATGGCCAACAACAGTAAACAATGCCTATTTTACTGTATCTGAGCTACGATTTTTCTCTTGATCCTTATTATGGACATCGGTATTGCTTAGTGTTTCATCATATATAAACCAATCTTTTCAATTTTAACCCTAACCTTTTTTTCTGTGTACAGGTCTCCTCTAATTAAAGTTCCCCCCCCCCCATTAAAGGCCACCTTCAATATAAAGACCATTTTACAGACAAGCTCCTATTAAGCCCATGGCAACCTCAGTCCCAAAAGTGGTCTGTAATTGGAGGGACACCATTGTAACCAGCACCCAGATTTTTATGTCATATAATTTTCTACTGTAGTACGTCATGTAATAAACTCAATTTATTCTTTTTAAAGGACCTTATGTCAAATTATCATCACCGTCGCCACCAGCACCTCTAACAGCACTATCACATAAACCATCATCTTATCATTACCCTGTATTGTTCTGTAATTATAATTATTATTGTATTGAAGAGATGTTTTGCCCTACCTGATGTGTTTTTGTACCAAATACTCCTTACATTCCCAAATACTCGCGCTAAAAAAATGCAAGTGATTCGGGTAGGAATCGAACCCACGACTTCCAGATAACTAGCCTGGCACCATAACCAATTATAACATTGACAGCCTCCTTCCATTTAAAAGTCAGTGAACAAAGCAAGGTCAAGAAAATCACATAACAATCTACTTTAATAATTTCTTTTAATTCAAATGATATTATCACAATAATATAACATATTATTCTTGTAATTAATAAGGGTTGGGTCAAATATCTAAAAAAAAATACATTAGTTTTCTGTTCAAAACCCACCACCGACACAGATAAGCAATAATATTAATTCAGTTACTGATAGAATTTTGATGACTAGACCTTCTCAAATGATGATATAGTTGGAGTGAGGTCAAATATCTATAATTCTTAAATAGTTTTCTGCTCAAAACCCACCACCTATATATAATATAATACAACAAAATTAAACAAAACTAAATTACGCATAGAATACAAACTATAAAAAATATTAATTAAGTAATAGTTACTGTAAGTACTTTAATATAATATTAAACTGCACTGTCATATAAAGAGCAGAATAGTCAATCTCAGTGTTTGTAATATTTTGCCTGCTATAACCCTGATCAAAAAGCTTTTTTATGAAAGAAAAAGACATCCATTAATAAAACTCTTAATATAGCATAATATTTTCTTGTTCTGATTTTAAAGGTATTAACTTACTTAAATATACAAACATTTCAGCTATTGCCAAATGATATCTAAACAATGGAAAATATATCTTAACACTATGGTTAACACATACTTAGGGTACACCCCTGTCTCTTATACACATCTAGATGTGTATAAGAGACAGATGTTATACAAGATATTAGTCTTCAAAACATCGGAACTATTTATAATTGTAATGCAATGTTCTTTTTCAATATACAAAAAAAATCAGCATCCTACTATAACAAGCCTTTTAAGATCCTCTTTATTCTTCATAATATACCTTTGTCAAATAAATCCAGAATTTTGGCAACATAGCTCTCATCAGATTCCTCAGTATCTACGAGGACAGTATCGCCCACCTTGATAGTCATTTTCTTCTTGCGATTGGTAAGTTCAAACTCACTGAAAATGTAAACAATCTATAATTTGTAACCATCATCTCAGTCTGCCGGGTAAAAATAAGCCACCTTATTTTTTTCTCTAAATGAAATATATTGATTAAATTTAAGATTGTTGCCTTGGCAAACTAGGGCCCAGCTAGGCTTAGACACGCGCGAGGCTAGGCTAACCTAGGCTATGAACTAGGCTAACCTAGGGCAACTTGGCAAGGGCCTACGTCTTGTCCTAAATCGCGGTCATTATTGGCACACCCTCTCAACTCTCTAGCTATAGCCTCCAAATTGGGCTACACTGGCATAGGATAACAGAGCCCTTCGGCAGTCTACACTTTTCTAGCCTAAGTAGCCTAGCCTATTACGGCGAATGTCCACCTAGGCCCTAGGCCAGCCAATGCCAAGCCAGGGCCTAGCTAGTTAGGTAGAATTCGATCCAACTCGGCCACAAGTCAACTCGGCCACAGTCAACTCGGCCACAAGTCAACTCGGCCACAAGTCAACTCGGCCACAAGTTAACTCGGCCACAAGTCAACTCCGCCACAAAGAG